CCCCAAAACCCCAAAACCCCAAAACCCCGGAAAACTCTGAGCGCGTTGAACAATTTTTTCTCGAAAGATTCACCGAAAGACTACAAGTAAGTCTTCCTTCATTCTCTTCACCCTATTGCCCTTCCCTCGAAATCCATCCTCCAATCTCCCGCCTGAAACTCTCTGCCTTGTCTTATTTCACTGCTTAGCTTTTAACAAATTGCTGTAAACAAAAATCTAAATCGCCTGCCGTTTCCTACGAAGCAGGTAAGGCTTCTTAGAAAAATGGAAATCTAAAAAAGACTATAAAGTATTTAATTGAAGACTTTTAGAGATTATGAAATTGTCCTCGATATTCTTAATTTAATGCAAGAGAATCTTAATTATGTTTGAAAAGTCTTCCTATTAAATTTTATTTCTTGAAAATAAAATTTAGTTATCAGAATTGTAGAAGAAAACAAAATATACAATTTCTTGATACTTTCATGTGAATTTTAATTCAGCCCAGCTTGTTGGATGGATATAATATATCTATAAACGAGTAAGCATCTGGAATTACTTGCTTGCTATATTTTGTTTAGCGGCTTTCCTGCAAAATTAATGGAAGCATCTTATCTTTCTTGTCATATATTCTATTCTCATAAATATGATACACAAGAGTTCTTCTTAGTCACTGTGTGTTAGAAGATCTTATTAGTAAAGCTTTTATAAAGATTTCATGTAGATTGTAATGCAAATATAGTATATGAACTTTTCTAAGGCGTCAGTTTGGTATGATGAAAACAGCAGATTCGCTCTTGAAATTATCGGGGAAAAACATCTCTCTTGATATGATAATGAATGAGCAAAGAATCAACTTGAAGAACATATAAACTATGTCAATTCTACAGACTCTACCCTTTATTTTAGTGTAGAGTCTTCTTGTTTAACTATGCTATCAACTACATACTTGCATGATCCTGTGCTCGAAGAGAAAGCAATGCCACCTCACAACAACATAAAGCTAATTCCAAAATTCATTCCAAGCATCAACTCGATCAAAAGAACTCTCAATCGTAAAGCAAGATGAGTGGAAATCCTCCTTGACCACGACCCAGATTTCTTCACTAACTCCATTTTAAAAGATCTGAGCTCATAAAACCCTCTTTTCAATACGTTCTCCCTCAAAAGGGGTTTTGGGGTTTTGGGGTTTTGGGGTTTTGGGGTTTTGGG